CCTGACAGACAGGTCACGCCTTTGGTGACAGCGTGATGGCTTCACTGAAGGCACTGCATGTGACCAGGGCAGAGCAGTGGCTGAGGCTGGCAGATGATGCTGTGATGCTGTCCCACAGCTACCAGCCCTCCTCTCCACCAGCACCTCATGCAGGGGAGCAGAGGAGCACATGAGCACTCGTGGCCAATCTTCACCAGCACTGCGACACCGATCTGCTTCCCATTGCCTCCCGCTTTTCCAACCTGAAGAAGGAACCATTGGGTTGGACAAGAGCACGTTTGCTTTGGCTTGGCCCGCAAGCAGCGATAAAAGGGAGCCCGATGCCAATGATCCAGATTCTATTTCAGGCCCTACCAAAAATAAACTCCGAAGAGGAGCTCCAATGGGAATGAAACATGGGCAGGACAGCAGGCTCCCAACACTGTATTGGGGATGTGTCTCCCATCAGTGCCAGGGGGATCTCATACTGGAGGGGGTATTGTGAGGCGCTTAGGGAGCTCCATCAGCTCCACCATCACCACACCAGTCAGGGCTATGGGGATATAAGTATATATTCAACTGATATTTCACATGGTGTCTTCAAGTGGGTGTGTTATACATGAGGAAATGGCCCTTTTCTTCTTTGCCCCAAAAGTGGATGGAATGGTCCCTGGTTGCCTTCCCTAGGAGAGCGGACTCCAGGTATGGCCAGTCTGGAAGCACTGGAATGTCCCCTGGACATATGGGTGAGTCCCAGCCTGGTTTGGGTTGGAAGGAACCTTAAAGATCATCCAGCCTCAACCCCTGCCACAGGCAGGGACCCCTTCCACTGGAGCAGGATGCTCCAAGCCCCTGTGTCCAACCTGGCCTTGAGCACTGCCAGGGATGGGGCAGCCACAGCTTCTCTGGGCACCCTGTGCCAGCGCCTCAGCACCCTCACAGGGAAGAGCTTCTGCCTAAGAGCTCAGCTCAGTCTCCCCTCGGGCAGGTTCAAGCCATTCCCCTTGGCCTGTCCCTACAGGCCCTTGTCCCAAGCCCCTCTCCAGGTTTCCTGCAGCCCCTTTAGGCACTGGAGCTGCTCTAAGGTCTCCCCTTCAGGAGCCTTCTCTTCTCCAGGCTGCCCCAGCCCAGCTCTCTCAGCCTGGCTCCAGAGCAGAGCTGCTCCAGCCCTCGCAGCATCCCCATGGCCTCCTCTGCACTCGCTCCAACAGCTCCACGTCCCTCTTGTGCTGCTGCCCCAGAGCTGGATCAGGGCTGCAGGGGGGGTCTCCCCAGAGCACAGCAGAGGGGCAGGATCCCCTCCCTGAGCTGCTGCTCACGCTCTGGGGGTGCAGCCCAGCACACGGGGGGTTCTGGGGCTCAAGCGCTCACTGAAGCCAGGTCATGGGGAGCTTCTCCTCACCCAACACCCCAAAGTCCTTCTCCTCAGAGCTGCCTGATTCAGAGCACCAGTCAAGCCCTTGCCCTAATGAAGTGCACAGAGCAAAGGGGTGAAGCTCATCAGCTGCAGAGCTTTGGGGCTGCAAATGCGTATGAGCAGATCCAAGCGCTTGAGCCTTCATTCCAGCCTCTGGAAGCTCTGTCTGGTATCACTTGGGGAAAATCCCTATTTCTGCACAGGAAGCATGAGCGTACTCGAGCAGGAGAGGGACAATAATCAGCAGGAGGTAGGCAGAGGCATCCCCAGCATCGCTACCTGCTTTACCTGCTTTTTACAAGGGATGTCTGAAGACCCTGACGATATCCTTAGGGGAAGGGAGCATGTCCTGTAGCTGTCCCTGCTCATGGGGTGGCTGCGAGATGGACCCTCTGGAGCAGTCCTTGGACAGGACCCACGGGTTTGGGTCAGTGCAGAAGGCTGAAACAAAGAGGCAGGGGCAGCCCCGGGGCAGGAGGTGGAAAAGACTGGCTGTGGTCTGCTGCATCCCTTACAGCTCATGGCACCTTTTGCATCCTTTGCACTCTCGCAGTCCTTGCAGGCCAAGCCCCCACTTCTTCTCTCTCCCACCCCATCTCCCACCCATGTATGAAGCACCCTGCAGTGACCCCAGAGCCCCGTGCAGCTCCCGTGCCTGGCTCACCCAGCAGGATCAGGTATCCATGGAGTGGTAGAGACCTGCCCCCCCACATCAAGCAGACATTCTGACAACCCCTCTGCTCTGGGGCTCCTGCGCTGCTGAGCTACAACCAACATGAGTTCACCGTGGCTGAGCATCCCTGTCTCCCCGCAGGGATTGCTGTGCCGTCAGGGCGTGTGTGTGTGTGCAGCATCTCCTTGGGTTCCATGGATGCTCAGCTGGACAGCCAAAGCCCGGCCATGTTTCTAATTTTGCAAGCAGGTCAAACCTCACTTTTCCATGTCTGTAGCCTTTGCTCTACCAGCTCCATGCAGCCATCAGGGAGGCAGCAGGAAAGTTTCACCTCGCACCACCGAGCCAGCGACCACCTCGATCCAGATCTTATTTTAGCTGCAGCTCAGGGGTGAAATTCCCGTTCAGATATTCAGCTCCAGAGGCCAGAGTGGGGGAAACACTTTTACTCTGCACTGTTTAAATTGGAATCAATCCGGTGAGCCTGAGGCTGTGAGGCTCCGGCGGCCCTGGCCACACGCTCACCCAGGGATGAGCTGCAGGAGGCCAAGGCCAGACACAAGGTTCGAGTGGCCCAAAAAAGGGGGAAGGAGGCTGGGGATGGGTGGCAAAGCCACTGTGGTGGGTGACCACGCACCCAGCACCAAATGGAGTTGGAGGGCTGGTGCTGACACCCCTTCCCCTGGCTCCCTCTGTGCTGCAGCAAGGAGCATCCTGCTCTCTTGTTGACTCCTCATAGCACATGCATGAAGCTTCATCCTGCCTGGGGCTGCAAATTGTCCCCAGTGGGTGACCCGGCTGCACTTCATCTCCTTGAGCTTCTTCCCTCAGCTCAGAGCCCCATGTCCACTCATGCATGTGTCATCAGAGTGCCTGTCCTTCAGCTCCAGCTCCATCCACCACAGCAAGTCCACCCTGCAATCAACACCCGCATCCCATCCCAACACCAAAGGCAGCATGAGCCCTCTACAGACCAGAGCCAGCTGCCTCCTGCCATGCACATCAGCTCACAGATCTGCTCCAGGTCCCCTGTATCCCCATGCTCTGCAGGCTCCAGCCCACCAGCCTGCAGCAGGCAGCGCCTGGAGCCGGCCAGGGTAATGAGAAGCGCATGGGAACCACATCTGGTAGCGATTGAGCGGGAGCAGCGCTGGGAAGGGAGGAAGCACAGACTTCCTGCAGCACAAAGCAAGGGAGAGGAATGTCCGCAGTGGAGCGGGGGCCCAAGCGGCCCCCTCCCTGCACCCCTCAGCCGGGACACCTTCAACAGGGGCACAAAGGCACCGGATTGTGCCTTTGGAGCTGTCCCTGCTCCATGGCTGAGCCCCTCGGCCTCCTCCCGGGCACCCCACAGCCGAGCCTCATGCATGGTCCCTCCTTTCCAGTCCTGTGCTGCTCAGGGTCGAGGTGAAGATGCTGCTGCTGAGGGTCTGGGGTCAAGACATGCCCAGACAGCAGAAGGCTTCCACTGACCCTTGAAACAGCCTTGGGAAGAGAGCAGGAGCCCCGGCGAGATGATGAAGATGGCAAGATCAAGGCAGGGTCTGCTCCATACCGTGGTGGTGGGGATGTGACACTGGGAGGGGAAAAGGCATAGAATCATTGAATCATAGAATCAACCAGGCTGGAAAAGATCTTTAAGATCATCAAGTGACCCAGCACAAGCAGGGGAAAGGGAAAAAAGGAAATGTATATCCAAGGGTGTTTTAGGGATGCCCTGTTTGCCTGAGGATGCTCCACGTTCTCCCAACACAGCCATTTCTACTCCTCTCCAGCACGCTTTGAAGTCATATTAAACCTCCTGCTTCTAAAGCATTTTTAGTCCATTTTGGCGGATCTCTCATTGTGCTAATTCAAGCCAGGACCCTCTTGTGCACGCTGCTGAAACGAGTTTGCAGCTCGGCCTGTGCTGAGCACTGATCTCATCACCTGCACCGAGCGCTCCCTGAAAGGAGCCGTGGCCACCCCAGCAGCGCGATTGAAGTCAAAATGCACTTAATAAACTCCGCATGTTTAAGGCATTGGAAGGGATCCTGGAAGCTGGGGGGGGGGGGGAAGGGAGGGGGGTGTCTCACCCTTCCCAGGGCTCCCCAGTTAACCCACAAACATGGCCTGGCTCGGTGACCACAGGGAATGGTCCCCAACTCATGGGCTGGACTGAAACCATGAAGCCAAGATGTGAATGAATGAGGCAATGAGGCTGCAGAGTGGAATTCCTCTGATGTCAGTGATGCATACACAAGGGATGGGGTGAAGAGGAACCCCCAGGAGAGCACTGACCACAGCAGTGCTGAGAGACACCCCAGCCATTGGGCACCACCTACACATAGGGCCCAGGGCAGGTGGGAGGTGATGGCTTCTGCTGATGAAGATGATGATGATGATCATCATCATCCCCCTGCACTGGGCACTGGTGAGGCTGCACCTCGAATCCTGTGTTCAGCTCTGGGCCCCTCACTCCAAGAGAGACATTGAGGGGCTGGAGCGGGGCCAGAGAAGGGAATGGAGCTGGTGCAGGGCCTGGAGCCCAAGTGTGATGGGGAAGGGCTGGGGGACGTGGGGGGTTCAGTCTGGAGAAGAGAAGGCTCAGGGGGGACCTGATGGCTGCCTCCAACTGCCTGACAGGAGGATGGAGCCAGGAGGGGCTGGGCTCTGCTCCCAAGGAACAAGGGATGGGACAAGAGGAACCGGCCTCCAGCTGCACCAGGGCAGGTTTAGATGGAGCTGAGGAACAATTCCTGCCGCAGAGGGTGCTCAGGCATTGGAACAGGCTGCCCAGGGCAGGGCTGCAGGCACCGGCCCTGCAAGTGTTCACACCCCGTGGAGACGAGGCCTCAGTGCCATGGGGCAGTGGTGGCCTTGGCAGGGCTGAGGAGTGGTTGGGCTGGATGAGCTTAAAGGGGTTTTCCAACCCAGGTGGTTCCATGGTTCCATGGCTCCCCGCTGCAGCCACTGCTGCCCCCGAAAGCGGCTCGAGCGGAGGGCACTAGGACCGCGCACAGGGCGGGGGGCGTGGCCGGGCAGGAGGCGGTGTGCCGGTGCGGCGCAGGCGCAATGCGGGTGGGGGGGGGATGTCATGTCGTGGTTCGGTGCTGGAGCCGGGGGCCTGGAGGCCGCGGAGGCGCGGGCACGGTCCCGGCAGCAGGAGCGGCACTACCGGCTGCTGTCCGAGCTGCAGGCCCTCGTGAAGGACCTGCCCAGGTGAGCGGAGCTGGGCGCGGTGGGATGCGGTGGGGTGCGGGGTGCGGTGCGGGGTGCGGTGGCCGGCGCTGACCCTCTCCCGCAGCCCCTGCCAGCAGCGCCTCTCCTACACGACGCTGAGTGACCTGGCGCTGGCGCTGCTGGACGGGACCGTGTTCGAGATCGTGCAGGGGCTGCTGGAGATCCAGCACCTCACCGAGAAGAACCTGTACAGCCAGCGGCTGCAGCTGCACAGCGAGCACCGCGGTCCGCGGGGACGGGGAGAGGGAACCGGCGGGGGGCACGGCGGGGAACCGGGGCGGGCACTGAAGGGCAGCGGGGGGGAAGGCGGCGCAGGGGGAACCTGGCGTGGGGCATGGGGGGGCGAGGGGAACGGGGGGGACTGGGGGCATTGTGGGGAGAGGGAACGTGGGGAGGGCACCGGGGGGGGTGCAGGGAATGGGGGGGTGCGCCCGGCGCTTGGGGAGGGCATGGGGCGAGCACAGACCAGGGGAGGTCTGGGGCACTGGGGGGGACAAGGGCTGTGGGGGGCGGTACTGGGAGGGGGTCGATGGGTACATGCGGGGGGACATGGTCCGGGGCATACGGGGGGCGGGTGTGGTGCTGGGTTGTGGCAGCTTGTGGGGCACATGGAGGGGTGGGGGGGTGACGGTGCCATGGCCTGACCCGCTGCCTGTCCTGCTGCAGGGATGAAGCAGGAGCTCTTCCACCGGCACAAGGAGGCGCAGCAGTGCTGCAGGCCCCACAACCTGCCTCTGCTCCGTGCTGCCCAGCAGCGGGAGATGGAGGTGAGGTCCCACCTGGGCTTGCTGGCATAGAGCCGTGGAACGGTTTGTGTTGGAAGGGATCGTAAAGCTCAGCCAGTTCCAACCCCTGTCTCACCACCCTCATGGTAACAAATGTCTTCCTTGTATCCCCCTCGTCCTCACAACCCATCACCCTTCATCCTGCTCCAACCAGCCCTGCTAAAAAGTATTCCCATCTTAGTAACTGAAAGACTCCCTGGAGTCTTCTTCAGGCTGCACAAGCCAAGCTCTCTCAGCCTTTCCTCATAGCAGAGGTGCTCCAGCCCTCTGACCATTTCTGTGTGACTCCTCTGGACCCTCTTCAGCAGATCCATGTCTTTTCTGTAGATGGGATTGACACTTCCTAACTTTCCTTGTGGCTTGCATGTGGGTTCTGTTGCTCAGTGCAGCCCGGTAAGGTTGTATTGCCTCCACACACACATGGTTTTTGACATGAGCTGGGCTCTCCTCATCCCCTGCAATCCTCTTCTTTCTTCTTACCTCTCCATCGTGTTTGGCTGGTCGAGGTTTCCTCCATAGCTGGGTGGCAGTGCTCCGTTCTGCAGCATGGGAGCGCTCCCAGAGCGTGCTGCCACTCCTCAAGTCCAGGATAATGTTCTCAGCCTGCCACAAGTAGGGCCCCAGCACACCATAGGCCTGAGCCAGGCTTCAGCTTGTTCTTGTCAGTGCCACATAAAGTGGATTCCAGTTCTGAAGTTTGGGTTTTGAGGAGTTCAGCTCCATTAGTGAGTAGTCAGGATCTGGGTGTGATTTACAGCCCCAGCTCTGTGTGTTGGTGTCCAGGGAACACAGAAGCTCAGGGAAGTGTCTGAGCTGACACCTTGATGGGCTTCGGTGGCTTCTGCTCCTCCTCCAAGTCTTTGCTTGGACTTCTCCAGAGCCCGTCCTCAGCCATAGCTCAGACCTTGGCTCCTCAGGAAGAGCCATTCAGGTACTGATCTGTTGCTCATGGTCTTTTCTGGCCTTCAAACACAGAGGAGGATGGTCCCAGAGGTTTCCCTGCATTTTCTGGAGTGGTAGTTTTGCTGAGACATGGCAACTGGAGGAGGCAAGACCCAGGGCCGTAATTGCTGCCTTCTGCTGTCCTTGGAGCAGGAGTGCTTCAGGGTTGAGTTGCTCTTCATTTCCAGTATCAGACTTGGAGGTGACAGAAGGTAGGAGGAAGGCAGATATTCCATGGTTTTCCACTGTCATCTTTGTCAGGCTGTAGAGCAACGGATTCGAGAGGAACAACGGATGATGGATGAGAAGATAGTCCTGGAACTGGACCAAAAAGTGATAGACCAACAGAGCACTCTGGAGAAGGCTGGTGTGTCTGGCTTCTACATCACCACTAACCCACAGGTTGGTGTTTGGGCAGGGAGTGTAAGGTTTGACAACATACTTGTATCAGCATCTTCATTCGTTTAACAAGATCTTGCTCTTAATGAATTCTGAATCAGTGGATCAGAGAGAATGACCCATGCTTTGCCCCATCAGCTGATGAGCAGTGTGCCCTTTGTGGACCTAGTACTGGGTTTGTAATAAAGGAGCAGAAAACCATGAGGCATGGTAACATCCCAGCTCTCTGCTGTGTTTTTCCCAGTGTATGGGTTAGGAAGGCTGTGCTGCAATCCTGTGGCTCCTGCATGGGGCTGAGTAATACCTAAATAAGAAGCTGTGTAAGTTTATCACTGCTGTACCTCGCTCACTGTGCAAACTGCCTTGGCAAAGCCTTTATGAAGCCTCTTGTTAATCCTTGCATGTGACTTGCTGGAGATGATGATCTCAGGCTGTGATTAGAACACTGGTTGTGGTTTCCCCAGTGCCTCTGCTTCCAAAACTCATGAGCAGTGGAAATAAAACTTCCAAAGTCTCCTTGGAATGCGACAGGAGTTTGCAGGGAATGCAGAAGCAGGCTGTTCTTAACAGGGAGGGAGGTGTAGGTGATTCAGTTTCACTTCCATAAAGACCTGACACTGAGAAAAAGTGGCTTAAACCAAGTTAGTTAAACAGGCACCCTCTAAACCCCACATGAGTCTCTGCTGTGCAGCCGTGAACAAGCCTCTTGTTTTCCCTGTGCTGCTGTTCCTCACTGGTACAATGAAAGCAGCTCTTTCTCTCCCCTCCTGCCCCTGCCTTTCAGAAGTGGTAGCTCTTCACAGGGTTCCTGTTTGCTGGGGTTTAAGTTTGCCTTTACAGTAGCTGGCAGAGCAGACGCAGACCTTGGCTTGTACCTGTGAACGCTATCTTCGGCTAAGAAATGCCTCCTGGAATCTGTTCTCCACATGCTATGTTTATTGTATAAAATGCCTGCTTATGCAGGCAATAGGTTTTTACCAAAATAGACTTCTTTTATTTCAGTAAGGGGATGTCTGCAAGCCTGAGTCACGGAGCAGCGTTCATGGGATTCGCTGCTCCACTGGGTAGTCTAAGTGGCTTGTGAGCTAAATGTAACTAAAGAACGAGCAGATGGTAAGGAAACCATACGCTGAGTGTGTTGACTATAGGAAACAGTGGTCTTTACTCATAGAAAAGGGAGGTTTGGAAGGGGAATGACACACTTAGAAGGAGTTTGATGCCCCACACACAGATTCCAGTCAGGGCCCAAAGTGATGCTTCCTGCCCTTCTATGCTGGAAAAGGATCGGAGTGTGGAAAGTGCTGTTGAGGGATGGCATGGGGTGTGGGTGTGCAAGGGGATGCTGCTGCTCCAGAAGGGGAAACCTGCACAACTGGCTGGTTGCTGCTGCATTTGTCATGGTCAAGAACCTTTCCGAATCCTCAGTGTATCCTAAGGCCCTGGGACTCCCAAGAGCTGTACTTTGCAACAGATCTCTTAAGAGATTACTGCCCTGTATCTTTCAGCAGCACTTGAACCAGAGCAAGGCCTTGGTTGGTATTTCCATGGTTTCTCTTTTGTTCCCTGACGATGAGCAGCTCTTGAGTGGGTGGTTCAAACCCGTCCTTTCTGCTTCCTGCAGCAGGGAATGGGATCATCTTGTTCTTGCAAAATCATCTCTTTCCTTTGCAGGAGCTGACTTTACAGATGAATTTACTGGAGCTGATTCGGAAGCTACAGCAGAAGGAATCCGAGTCCGAGAAGGCTTTTCCCTGAATGAGCAAATCTGCTGGTTTCTTCCTGGAGTTTTCTTCTCATTTCCCTCTAATGAATAGACTGTTCATGCATTTGCTTTTTACTGTGTCAGGAAATCCTCTGGATTTGAGGAGACATTTTGATGTCTCTGGTAAGGAATGGGAGAGATGAGGAGATGGAGGCGGACTCACCATCCACGCATGGTTGCCAGCTGGGAAAAATGTCCAGGTTTCTCTACAAGGTGGTTCTGAGTGTGCTGAGGCACAAACAGCCCCTTGAACAGGTTCTTCCAGAGACACTGAGCAGGTACCAGCATTGGGAGACTTTGGGATTCTGCCCAGCATTACTGGGCTGTGTTTGCAGTGTCTCACTCAACTCAGGCAGCAGAGACATCCTGAGGGCTTCTTCTCCTTAAACCAGTTTCCAAATGCAGAGAAATAAAATCATTCTGTTCTGTCTTGGAGCTGCAGCTTTCCACATGCGAGTACCTCTGTCCCAGCCCTGCGTGGTGAGTGTGGGGCACTGGATTAAATCGGAGTGTCTCTGAGACCTGTCAGGACTGATGACCCTGGGATGCAGTGCATGGGAGAGTGGGGACACTGGCTGGAAGCTGGGTAAGGGAGCACTTCAAGTGTAGTGGGGCCAGGCAGTGTGGGCTGCCCATAGGGACTGCTTGGTGCAGGGGGAGGCTGTGAGCGCTTCTGGTGTTCATGGGTGAAGTTCAGGTCAGAGAAGCTGTTGGGAGTTGCTTGAAGACCCAAGGCCATTGTGTGTTAAGAGCTGTGATTGTACCTGGGTCACCATTTCGGGGTTTTCTGGCATTCCTAGAGCAAGCCTTGTACAGAGTCATCATAGAATCCCAGACTGGTTTGGGTTAAAGGGTCCTCATCGAGCTCCAACCCCTTGCTATGGGCAGGGACACCTTCCACTACAGCAGGTTGCTTCAAGCTGGAAAGTGGGCTGATGTGGGCCCTGCACCATCACAGGATCCCTGTGAACCATTCTGAGCTGTGTTGCCCCTGGACCCTGTGCTGGGAGCCCTGCACTCTCCTGCTAAACTGTCAAGGCACAGAATGCACAGTATTCCCCTCTGGAGACACCATAGGGCCTGTGAGGACACGCACGGGCAGGAGCAGTCCCTAGTGCTGAATCTGTTCCTCTGCGTGGCCAGAGCTGTCAGCAAGGAAATTGCTTGCCAAGGGGTGAGGATGAGGAAGTCGGGGATGAACAATGGCTCCTGTTGCAGGAAGGGAGCCTGCCTGATGCCAGGCTTGGAGCAGCTCCTCCTGCAGCAGCAGCAGCGCAGCCCATGGTGGGGCCGGGGCAGCTCAGGGGCAGCTTGTGCAGGAGGTCAGGGATGTGCCATGAGCAGCAGAGCCCACCTGGCCCCAGAGCTCGCCGGCAGAGCTGGCAGCTGCCGGGATCCCAGGAGGCTGCTCCAGCACTGCCATGACAACGGCAGCTCTCCCGCCTCCGGCTCCCACCATCTGCCTGCGGATGCTCTGCCAGGCAGCCCATTCAAGCGGGTATTTCTCATGCCTGTGCCCAGGGTGGGTTTTGGAAGGGTTTTGTGTGTGAGGTGGGAGCAGGGGTGCGGGCAGGAGAGGTCGATTGCTGGGAAAGGGAATAAAGCACCAGGATAGAGCAGGGGCACTGGGTAAGCATGATTTCAGCAGAGCTCAGCCCCCTCAGTGGTGATGGTGGTGATGGGGATGGCTGGGCTGGGGATGGACCTGGTGACTGACCCGAAGGAGCTGTAAGTGCTGCAAAGGGTCACTGGCTTTGGGCTGTCAGCTCCATGGTTCAACTACCTGTGGAGCCCGCAGGCTCTTGCCCTAGGCTGAGGACCCCTGTGGTGGTAGCTCCTGCCTGAGCATCCATGTGTGCCAGAAGCCACATGGAGAGGGGATGCACAAGCCAATGGAGCTCCATGGTGTGGTGTGAGGTGACCGACAAGAGAGCTACATCTCTGCCAGCCCCAGTCACCCATCAGCAGGAGGAAGGGGAATAATGGGTGGTAGAAGGGGACAAGTCCATTTTGTGTACTTTGGGCTGATGAGGGGGATAGTGAGGTCCCCTCTGCGAAAGGAGATGGTCCAGCATGGATGAGGATGTGTTTGTGCAGGTGAGAGCCCTTTGTGCTGCATGGTGGGCTCTGAGTTGGCTTACCACTCAGGAAGGACATTTGGGGTGAAGCATCAGATTTGGTGCTCAGTAGCCAAGGGATGGGACAAGAGGAACCGGCCTCAAGCTGCACCAGGGCAGGTTTAGATGGAGCTGAGGAACAATTCCTGCCCCAGAGGGTGCTCAGGCATTGGAACAGGCTGCCCAGGGCAGGGCTGCAGGCACCGTCCCTGCAAGTGTTCACACCCCGTGGAGACGAGGCCTCAGTGCCATGGGGCAGTGGTGGCCTTGGCAGGGCTGGGAAGGGTTGGACTGGATGAGCTTAAAGGGCTTTTACAGCCTGGCTGGTTCTGTGATTCCAGAGCTCACCTCTGCTGCTCCTCCATAGCGAGGACCTGAGCGCGGAGGAGGTCCCTGCTCTCCAGGCCCCAGCAGGGAGAGGCAGGTTCCCCGCTGGGATGGCCGCGGCTCATCCCTTCACCGGCAGCTGGGTCCCTCCTGCATCCCCGCTGCTGCCCCATGGGGCTCATGCCGGGGGGGCGGGGGGGGTTCCCCCGTTCCCGCTCCCTGCGCGGGCACCGCCGGCTCCCCCCGCCCCGAGGGACTCCCGCGGCCGCACGCGGGTCCCGCCCTTCCGCCGGGCCGGGGAGGCGGAGCCGGGCGGCGGCGGCGGCGGCGGCGCGGAGCAGGTGGGGAGCGGGGCCGGGGAGCGGGGCCCTGCGGGGCTGGGAGCGGGGCGGGGGGAGCGCGGCGGGGCCGGCAGCGGGGCAGGAATCCCGTGACCGCCCCGCTCAGCGCCGTGCCCCTGCTGGGTGCGTTGGGGTCGGGGACCCCGACACTGACCCCCGCACCCCGTGCCCGGGTGTCCGGAGAGGGGCTGGGGGTGCCTCCAGCGCGTTTGGTGCCAGCAGGCCCCATGTCCCCCATGGGCCGGTGTCCTGCGGACAGCTCACAGCGGCTTCTCCAGGACCTTTTGGCCTCTGGGACCAATGGATCCAGGGAGCAGAGCTGCACCGAGAGCCCTCTGAGCAGGACCTGGGGCGTGAGGCTCTGGGATACACGTATCCCAGCACAGGGAGGAGGGGAGAGCATCCCTGGAATCACTGGCTGCCCATGGAGCAGCTGTGAAGCAGCACCTGGAGATGCCAGATGCCTCCTCCTGCTCTCCGGGAGCCTTATGTGTTTCCTGGTCTGGCCAGGATATTCCACGTCCTTGCTTGGAGCTGCTCTGCACTTCCTGCTGCACGCCAAGCCACACCTGGGCTATCCCTGGGCAAGCAGGGGAGATAGAATCATAGAATCAACCAGGTGGGAAAAGACCTTTAAGATCATCAAGTCCAACCGTTATCCCAAAACGGCGCCAAGTCCACCACTAAGCAGTGTCACTGAGGATGCTGCATCCCACCCTCCCCGTGCTCCTGGCACACCAGGTCAGGGAGATGTTGAGGAAGGTGGGGGGAAGCAGCAAAGAAACATTCAGCAGGGCCAGAGCAGCCTGCTTTGGGTTTAATGCAGCGCTGATAAAAAAGAAAAGCCTCAGAGATGATGCCTCGGAGGTGCTGTGGGTTCCTTCCCTCCTGGCACACAAGCATGGGTCCCCATGGGTGGTTGTGTGTCCGAGCCACCACCCAGGGGGAGGACACACTCCAGTGCTGAGCCCGGTGCTGGCTGAGGAGCGAGGAACACTTTGAATGTGCCCTGATGCCTTTTCCACCCCATCCCCACCACCCAGTGCGTCCTTGCAGGGGGGATGCTGACACCTTCCTGCTCCTCCAGCAGGGCTCCAGGCAGGGTCCGGCCGAGGGCAGGACCCACTGCCTCCAGGATGGCGCGATGGCTGCCCCGCTCCACCGACCTGACCCGCTTCTGCCAGAAGCTGAACCGGGTGAAGACCCTGGAGGATGACATGATGGAGACATCCTTCAACAGATGCCTTTCCACCATTGACCTGACCCTGCTGGGCATCGGAGGCATGGTGGGCTCTGGGCTGTATGTCCTCACAGGCACCGTGGCCAAGGAGATGGCCGGCCCTGCCGTCATCATCTCCTTCATCATCGCCGGCTTTGCCTCGCTCCTGGCTGCTCTGTGCTATGCTGAGTTTGGAGCCCGTGTTCCCAAGACAGGCTCTGCCTACATGTTCACCTACGTGTCCGTGGGGGAGATCTGGGCCTTCCTCATCGGCTGGAACGTGCTGCTGGAGTACATGATCGGAGGAGCTGCGGTGGCCAGGGCCTGGAGCGGTTACCTCGACTCCATCTTCAACCACAAGATAAAGAACTTCACCGAGACCCACGTGGGCACCTGGCACGTGCCATTCCTGGCTCACTACCCTGACTTCCTGGCGGCTGCCATCCTGCTGGTCGCCACCGCCTTCATCTCCTTTGGGGCCAAAGTGTCCTCCTGGCTCAACCACGTGTTCTCGGCCATCAGCATGGGTGTCATCCTCTTTATCCTCATCATGGGCTTCATCCTCGCGCAGCCCAAGAACTGGAGTGCCCAGGAGGGTGGCTTTGCCCCGTATGGGCTTTCGGGCATCATGGCCGGCACAGCCACCTGCTTCTACGCCTTCGTGGGCTTCGATGTCATCGCGGCCTCCAGCGAAGAGGCCAGGAACCCGCAGAGAGCAGTCCCCAGGGCCATTGCTTTCTCCTTGGGGCTGGCCACCGGTGCCTACATCCTGGTGTCGGTGGTGCTGACGCTGATGGTGCCCTGGCACACGCTGGACCCGGACTCTGCCCTGGCAGATGCCTTCTACAGGAGGGGTTACGCCTGGGCAGGGTTCCTGGTGGCTGCTGGCTCCATCTGTGGTGAGTACAGGCAGTGGTGGGAGTGCTGCTCCTTACGGGAGCTGGGATCCAGGGTGGTGTGGGTCTGACGTGCTCCTCCTTCTCCTGCCCACCCCTCAGCAATGAACACGGTCCTGTTGAGCAACCTCTTCTCCTTGCCACGCATTGTCTACGCCATGGCCGAGGACGGGCTCTTCTTCCGCGTCTTCTCCCGAGTGCATCCCCGCACGCAGGTGCCCGTCGTTGGCATCGTGGTCTTCGGGTTGCTCATGGCGCTGCTGGCCCTTGTCTTTGACCTGGAGGCCCTGGTGCAGTTCCTGTCCATTGGCACGCTGCTGGCCTACACCTTCGTGGCCGCCAGCATCATTGTCCTGCGCTTCCAGCAGCAGAAGGGGGATGTCCCTGCGCCAGCGGCTGGTGGCCAGCCCAGCCCCGAGCCCCACGAGGGTCCGTCCGCCAGTGAGCTGAAGGAGTACGAGTCCTTCTCCGACAAGCTCCAGCTGGTGGACAGGGACAAGAGCAAAAAGCAGCGGGAGCCAGGGCAGCTG